AGTCGCTTTACTTGGCGTACCTGATACATGGCGGAATCCACTAAGATTCTGGCCATTCCTGTATCAACCATGTACTCCACCTCTTGACCGCGGACCTTTACAGGCACACACCAATCTTCACTCAGCTGCACAAGAGCTGGGCTAACCACCATATCCTTTGGCATAGCGCAAACTGCCTTCTGTGCTTCTTCGAAACAGTGGCCAGACCTGACTCGGGCTCCATTACTTTCAAGGAACTGAAGCAACAGCAGCTACAGCTAGCGGCTGGCCTTCTTGCACCTGCCTTGTAGCCTGTCGTGGCCGGGTGCTTAATCTATTTTGATGCTCAAAGTTCACAATGAACAATCTGGGTTGTGTCCTATGCAAGGAACGAACCACAAATGTTTGCGTTATAAGCTCTCAAGCTTTTAGCTGGATCACGGGAAGGCCATTTTAAAATAGTTTCCTGAAATTTAATAAAAAAAGATCAAACTCAGATTGTTAGTAGATATGTTTTGATGACAGATTTTCCTACACACACGCACACACACATACACAAATTAACTCAAGTTTTACATGCTGTTCTCACACACGTTCACATAGATATGGCTGTTGAATGCTAGCTGACTTTTTCAGTTGTACAGACTCATAGTTGTTATTCCTGAACTCCTTTAGTTGATTAACAGACATATATTTAAAATTATTGGATATTGATCATTTAAATATATTAACATAATATTATAATTATAACAGTTATCCTTGCACGAGAATTTCAATCTTTACTTGAATAATAGATGAGCACTGGTAGCAGCCAAACCGCAACCCAGGTACCTAAACCGCGCGAAAACGTTTTGAACGTTTTGAGTAAAAAAGCAGTGAATGAAGAGAAACGATATTAATGCTACTTAGTTTTATTAAATGCCTTTTTAGGGTTTAGAGCAATGTATTAATATGTGGATTGTGACTTTTTACGTCTATAGGTTATTCGAGATTAAGTTATATTTCTATTTTGTTTGATGAATCTAAACTTCATGATGTTAGAGTGCAGTGATAAATAAATGCATGAGATATTAAGTTCGTTTGTAATATTAAAATAACGTTGAAGCTTTGCCGAGAAAGAAAAAAACGATTAGGCTTATAATTTCATAAGTGATAATTACTCACTTATTTAATTTTCAAATAACTTAAGAGTAATAACTTAATGAAATAATACAAAAGAAAGTGTAAGTCCAAATAAATGAGTCACGAGATTTGGTTTTCCTTGGTAGTTGATTGGCTGATAAATTTTTAATATAAACTGAGTTCTTTCTTCAGTGCTGTTCGTTGTCAACATTACTAATACTCGTTAACTAAACACAAATGATCCACGTAACATAATTTATATGACAATTTCACTCCAATTTCTGTTTATAATTATATCTGATATAAATTCCACGTAACTTGCTCTGCTATCTCTCTGTCTGCCTATTTTTATTTATAAATAGTTAAGCAAAGAAATGAGACAGATTAGATTCCGACTTTCAATGATTAAATAAAAAATATTTTTTTAGAAAGTAAAAATATTGTTTCATTTGTTCCAACTTAATACACAAAACGGATAAAACGTACATAACGTAGCTTGAATTAATACTTGTACGAATAGTATGAACTAGGGTAACAATGTAAACCACTGAACATTATCCTTGATCTATTTGAGGAAATATATTCCGTAAATATCTTTTAATCCACTCATCTGTTAGGCTGCTTGCCAAATAGCGTGAAAACGTCAAAGTATGGGGTAGTGAAAATCTTATGTTATTAAGCCACACATTAGCTTATAAATATTTAATAGTTTACCAAGTTCCCGATCCGAGTTTAGAATGAATCAAACCACCAAGTAGAGCGTATGTGTGTGTTTCGGGACCTGCCATTTACAGACTTCCTCGTGCTGACTACAGCAGAATTGAATTAAAACACTGATATTATCGTTCAGTGGGTGTGTCGACGGTCGGAAACGTTTACGTCGAGACTGGGCCATTTGGGGTAGAGACTCCTTCGATTTCTAAAAATGAAGTCATCAATCAGAACCACGGGCTCTTCAACAGCTCAAAAATTCATGATATTGAAATAAAGAATTCCAATGCATATTTCTAAGCTTCATGTTGATTGTTCTATGTGTTTTATTTTATTCAAACAATCACAGAAATCTGGTGAATGTTTTTATTTATCAGCTTCTAAAAACGAGATCGTTTTTATTTAACACCCATCATTAGTGATGGCAAAGCTAATGCAAGGTAAATTTGACAACCTTATTTAAAACAGTGGATTCAATTCATGTTAATAGTGTTGTAACTGATTTTTTTACACATCTAGATATTCCACTACAGTGCATAAGCTCAAAGAAAAATACATTAAATTATCATTAACAATCATTACATGCCCAAAGCGTGGTTAAGGTCTGTTTATTCAAGGTCGCTTTCTTTACCTGATGATGGAATATTCTTGTCGAAACGTTGTACATTTGCTGTTATGTTAAACTTATATTAAAGTTTTTCTTCATTACCCATTCAAGCCGTCTCCAACCATGAATAGGGGTTGTATTTTCTTAAATCAGTCTAACTTACAGGAGTGAGCCGAAACATAAAAACATAGATCAAGTCTTTTAAAATAATTTTTTCTTCTTCTGTCAACAAACAAAGAAATGTAAAAAAAAAGTCAAAACATTTATGGATAACGTTTGCCAAAATCTTGGACGATAAATGACGTTTAATAGTCCACTTTAAGTTTAGTATAAATAATCATTATCACTGTAACTTACAGTAATGCGGCGTTTCCAAAACTTTTGTTACCCACGTTTCCCTTTAATAAATATGGTTTCTTGCGCTCCCCCCTTTTTTTTAAAACGCTTAATTTTTATTAATGCACTATTGATTCTATCCCAATCGTCCCCCTCCCCACAAGAGATCATTTGCGCCCCATACTTTGGGATAAGCTGCCGTAATGCACAGAATTCACAAATATGTTTATGCATTATCCTTAATATACTTGAGTTTTTGTTATGTCGCAACAACTTTTCTGTGGGTTTATCCTGTGATCTGCAGACTTTCGAGTGTTCAAGATCTTAGAATTAATTTTATTTCTATTTCACCATATTTTTAAATGATCAAGTAAAAGATTTTATTCTGATGGTTACGCTTCATATATAGCAGTTATATTTTAGTTGAAATCAACTGCCTCTAGGGGCGCTGCAAGCAAAACCTATTATTTCTTTCCAGTTGATTGGCTTGAGTGGGATCAGTTTTTGTTTGTCTCTTATTATGCATAAAGTTACACAATGGGCCATCTGTGCTGTGCCCATTGCGAGTATCGAAACCCGATTTTTACCGTTATAAGTTATCAGATCGGGGAAGGGAGTGAAGAGTGGGATCATTGTCTTTATCAATGTCAATTTCTTACGTATTTTAATTGTCATTAGAAATTTTGTTTTATGACGCTTATTACTTACCTCACTGGTGCATTTAGATAAGAAATACCATAAACTTACAAATATTAGATAATCATGGGTTTGTTTATTCAACGGATAAACGATAATCCGAATGTTGTTCAAAGTGTTGATCCCTGTTCAGCAAGTCACTTTAGATTTTAATTCACTACAAGGTACTGTTAAATTTACGAAGTAAGAATAAAGATACTCAGAAATTTTCCTTAGAGTAAGATTTGTTAAACTTTGTTAACATTTGTCAAACTTACCAGTGGTCACTGGGAACTTTTGAAACTGATTCTCATGATCTAACTTGTTAATAACAGGTAAACTTTGTTTCAAACACAATTATCCAACTGTTGGAATCTATTATAATAGATTCAATAATTATATATGATTGTATCCCCAGTTTTTACGTCGACACTGAGTTTTATGTGTTGAAGGAACTGATACTGAGTTATGTATGAGTTGAAACGTTTATCGTGATTAGTGATACTTATTTCAGCCCGAGGTTTAAACTAAAACATTTTCTGTTTTGTTTCGATCTTTTGTTTCGATACTGTTAACGTTTTACTGTTAGATTCATGTTATCTTAACTCAGGTAGCACAGGTTATGGTCAATATTATTAATTAACTAAATGCTAATGTCCTGCAATGGTCTCTAAGCGTTCAGAACAGTGATTTATAATAAGATATATGAAATAGCTCTAATAACATCAGACTAAAGTGTTATACTGGAAATTAAGCACCGGCTATATGTTTTTGATCTGGACTATTGAAATTTGGAAATATGATATCAGGAAAACTCAATAACAATCGAAATTCAAAAATACACACATTTTTCTAACCAAATATGCACTAAACTGCTTGTGTTTCGATGACTTTGTTGGTTACAGGTCTCCTATTAACACACGAGTCCCCAAAATAAATACCCAACAACAGTGATTACCGCTGCAGTTTTCCAGTTTGCTTTGTCTGTTCTTTACACAGAGTACTGTAACAGGCAAAAACAAGATTACTCAATATATGCAATATCTGGACCCTAGCGGTAATGAACGGTATAAAAAAAATCGGAAATTTCAGAGTTAAGAAATGTTTTGCCAAAAGTTATAACCTAGCCTCATTTGATTTCTATTTTTCACAAAATCTTTTCGACATTTTTGGCATAAATATTAGGGGGGAGAGGAAATTGTTTCTATGGTGGAGCTCTAGATTCCGAACGGGCAAGCAGGACTCAAATCCGCACGATACCGCAGAGTATTTGTCGCATTTTACGCCGTGGGTACGTTTTAAGAGTGACAATTAGTTCCTTAGCGTGGACGGTGGGTGTTGATGATTGGTTGCCTTGGTCAATAGAGACAGTGGCAGATAACCATAGTAGCCTTGCTAAGGAACAAAATACGGGTATGAATGCATAACTTCGAGGCAGCGCTTAACGTGGATGGCCGAGATACTGAGTATTAGGAGCGTCTACGCGCACAGACTAACGGCGCATGTTCGTCCCAATTACTGCGTGCGAGTGCGGCCACCTATCGTTCATTTTATTGACCGTGCAGAGAGTTGTAACGACAGTGCGATACACACTCTTCTTTTCATAAGAAGCTGAGTTACTTGAACGATCACGTATGTGCGCAAGAAGTAACTGTTGGAGACTGTTTGTAAACGTTATTCAGACATTTGGTGTGTATTGTTAGTTCCAGAACTAGATAGACGGGCAGAGTTTAGGAATATCAGTAATGTCTCAGAAAAGCCTAACTATGTTGGGCTGCGGAAAACCCAGCAATAACCTGCAGAATCTGTTTATGTTTCTTGTTAGCAGATTACAACGAAATGAGGCCTTGAAATAGTTGATACATTTAGCACTATTGTCTTGTGAATCAGAGTTGAATTCCCGTGGTTTTGTCAGAAGTGGAACACAGAAGTTTGATGTAGCTGCTCAATAATTCCTAATATCTTCCATTCCTATATTAGTTGTTAGTCACGTTTTTATTCTATTTTAAATCAAAATTTTTTACCAATTTACTAGTAGTTAAATATGTACTCTGAAATTTCGGATTTTTGTTTTTAGAAACGTCCGTTGGAAAATGGTGTTTGAATCATAGACAATCTAATGGCTAAAAAGGCCTCACTAGAAATAGATGCTCCTTGATCAGCGTTAGCCAAGAGTGTAACAGCTTCTAGTATTCCATAATTGATCAGTCATTTATTACTTCGAGTTTGACAACTTAGTGATATAATATTTGAAAATCAGCCTGCCTTTCAGAAGATATTGATATTAACACAAATTTTGAAACGAAAATTACGTCCAAGTTAATAGTTACTCGGTGAAGTGATCGGTGATTTTTTTTTTTTACACATGAAACAGATGATGATAAGGTTACTTCAGTTACGTAACCTGCACTCTGCTACAGTCTCCACGAATTATTAGCTTCAAATGACTTTCCGATAAAGCAACTTTTTTGCAGGAAATAGCCAGGAATAGAAACATGAGCAGTGACGAGAGTCAAACGTCGTCTCCTGACCCGGGAAGTAGCAGTGGCGGAGCAAGGATGAAGCAATATTCTCTAATCCGTCTGTCGCATGAACAGGAGGACTCGTTCACAGGTTACAAATTTCTTCACTATTATATCTTAAAATCTGAACAAGTGTTTATACTGTTATGCTCACCTTCGTCTTTAATGTTTAAAAATTAACAAATCATTCAAACAAATGCATTCTAAAACAATTCTTTCAACAAAAGAGAAAGTTTGTTTTTCAATGAGGTTATCGCTCAATTTAGTAACATTAACGTAAATATTTTCTGGAGAATGCTCTTGATAAGTTAATTTATTTCTCAAAATTTCGTAAAAATTAGGTTCCGAGTGAAGATTGCGTCTTTATAATGAGGATTAAGAGGCGAGTCTTGATCATCGTTTTTAAACACGAAACAGAAAATGAAACTGGATAACATTTTTGTTTCCCTAAATATGAGATGTAGTAAAGGTAATATCATGCAAATAAATTAATCATGTCTTTATGTCACATCTACATCAGTTTGTATTTAGTTTGTTAAGTTGAGAATTCTGCCTACCAACACAAATTTCGATAGTGATATTTAATCATATTTTTTACTTAAATCAAAGTAATTAATTCCAGTTATGTTTACTTTTCAGTTTTTGACTTTAATTTTTCGATTACAGAGTAAAACACAAACACATATATATATATATATAAATCTAGAGTAAACACGCTTACACATAGACACACACATATATATATATATATAAATCTAGAGTAAACACGCTTACACATAGACACACACATATAGTGAAATAATTATTTACCCAGTTCTTCAAACTTTTGCGAAAATAACAAATACATTTCCATCACGACAACAATAGCGAAAACTATTTAGTTGAGACTTCTGTTATTCGATTTTTTCTGTAAAGGGAAGATGCTAGATATACCGGGATTCATCAACACGGTACTGAACAGTAGAACGTATAATCTCCGTTTTCACATGATAACTATCTTCTATGTAATAACTCTGGAATACCAACACTGCAATAGGCTGTTTGTTGTCGTTAACTGATAATCACAGCCCTATTAACCATTATAATTAAATGAAGTTTGATTCTTACGTTACAAAATACTTGACAGGTTTTGCAGGATTTCGAAAGGGTAATATCTGTGATTTCTCTACTAAGTTTGTAGTCGCCAAAATCTACTAGAAACTCATAAGTTCCGAAATAACAACTACAGTTTGCCGTATACCAGCAGTTAAGATGATCAATATTAGTCCAGCATCTTATCAGTTATACTACTGCACTATTAAGTTTGTAGTCACCAAAATCTACTAGAAACTCATAAGTTCGAAATAACAACTAGAGTTTGCCGTATACCAGCAGTTAAGATGATCAATATTAGTCCAGCATCTTATCAGTTATACTACTGTCCCTTCACTACTAAGTTTGTAGTCGCCAAAATCTACTAGAAACTCATAAGTTCCGAAATAACAACTAGAGTTTGCCGTATACCAGCAGTTAAGATGATCAATATTAGTCCAGCATCTTATCAGTTATACTACTGTCCCTTCACTAATAAGTTTGTAGTCGCCAAAATCTAGCCACTGTTAGACTCGTACTAAAAGAATACCTTATTACTAGAATGTATTAAATATAACCGTTTCATTAGACTTTTCTCTTCGTTAGAAATATATTAGTACCAAAACCACTCACGCATCAGAATACTTTCACTACCTGAACCACACCATCACTTTTGAACTGATCATTACTATGTCACCACTCCTAAAAAGATACTACCAGAATCTCCTTGTTCTTAAATCAGAATGTCATCGATATCAGTACCACACCATCAGAATTCTATTACTACCATAACTGTAGTCACAAATTTTCATCATTACTTGAACTAAAACATTAGAACCACTTTACTGTTAGAACTTCAAGCATTAGATTTTTTTTATTGCCAGAATCTTATTATCATCATAGTCATTTTACTGCCAAAGCTATATCCATCAGATTCGATCCACATTAGAACCTTACCGTCAAAATATTTACTGAACTCTGATTTAACTGTTTTTAAGAAAAACAAATTTAAACTCATGGTTACAATAAAAATGATTTATGATGTTCTCAGTTGTCAGAAAACTCCGGTTTTACGTTAGTTTAGGTAAATTCCCGAATCATAAATGAAACTGCTAATATGTAAAGTTAAACGTGTATTTTGTAAGACAATACTATTTCCTGTTTACGTTTTCTAGAGGAAATTAAAAACGGTGTTATGCTTCAAACACAGAAGCTCAAAAAAGAACATGTAAGCTAACTGCTGAATTACAAATACACTTTTCTAAATATATAACTTGTGTGACTTTAAAAAAAACAAACAATTAAGTCTTATCTTTGGCACATTTTTCTTGACTCATCAAGAGTGAATAATATTACCCGCTTATCTGTGACATACGTTTTAAGTATTATTTAAAAAAAATATCTAGAATATTCCTACGTTTTCTACGAAAAAACAGGTTTTATTTTCTTTAAAATAGATTAACATTTTCTTGATGTAACTGAACTGAAAATCACACACCTGTGTGTGTCTCTACCAAGACAAACGAAATAGCAAAAACAAAACAAATTACATTTAATATAGAGTGAGCTGTATTTTTAATGTATATACTCTCTACAAAGAGTCTTTATATAATAATAGTTCATAAAAAGGAATTAATATTGTTATGAATTACTTCCTCAATATAAATACTTGCGGGTATGTTGACATGAAATATAAATACTTTCATTTATGTTGACTTTTAAGATAAATGCTCATAGTTATTTTGAAGTGTAATATAAGTACTCATGGTAATGTTGAAATTCAATGTAAGTATAATTCCGTTGTTATTCAGTGCAAATACTCACAGTTATGTTGGCATTCAATATAGATACACTGACGTATACATTCAATGTAAATTCAGTTATGTTCACATTTAGTGCAAACACTCAGTTATGTTGACATTGAATATGAATGCTTACAGTTATGTTGGTATTCAATGTAAGTACTCAGTTATATTGACATTCAATGTAAAAACTGAAATTATGTTGACATTAAAAATAAATACTCATTTTTATGCTGACATTCAATACAAATATTAACAATTATGTTGACATTCAACATAAATACTCACTTATATTGACATTCAATGTAAAAACTGACATTATGTTGACATTAAAAATAAATACTCATTGTTATGCTGACATTCAATACAAATATTAACAATTATGTTGAGATTCAACATAAATACTCAAATATATCTTGACATACAATATAAGTATTACCGATTATGTTGACATATTTAAATTTCACAGTTACATTGACATTTAATGTTAATACTCACAGTTATGTTAATATGCAATATAAATACTCAAAGATATGTTGAAAATAAATATTAATACTCAATTTATGTTTACTTTAAATATAAATAATCACAGTTACGTTGCCATTATTTATAAATAATCACAGTTATGATAACATAGATACTCAAGGTTATATTGACATTCAATACAAATATTCACAGTTATTTTGAAATTCAATAAAATACAGTTATGTTGACATGAAAAATAAATATTTACAGTTACGCTCAAATGCAATATTAATACTCACACTTATGATGGTAATGAATGCAAATGTCTTTATTTTGGCATTTAGTGTAAATATTCATGTTATGGTTCATTCAATAAGAATACTCGTAGCTATGATGTCCTTTGATATAAATACTCACAGTTTTGTTGAAAGTTAGTGTAACTAAAGACAACCCGCTGTTCCTTAAATAATATTTTCAGTTTGTGTTAACCTATGTCATTGTTTCCTTTTTCCATTGCTATTTCATAGTAGAACTTTCAAAATCATGTTTTTTGACATGATTTTAGTTATGTTGACTGATAACATTTAACAGAACTCCAATTAATCTATATATGTTTTAACTATAACGTGCAGGATAATTTATCTATAATATAACTTTAGCAACAACGTGGACTTTTATTATGATTCTTAAATTTATATTGACCTTTATTATAACTTTATTCGTAATTTATGAAATGAACAAAATTCTCCTAGTCATGTTGATCTATTGTACAATTCCTTTAATGTAGTTCTCAAAACAAAGTTGATCTCAAAATAACTCACACAGATTTTATACATTTTTTTATAAAATACTTTGATCCCTCAGTGTATCAGAATTCCGTATAATGTTAATTTTAAATATATATTCTACATATATGTTGCTCTTAAGATATCTCCTAAAGTCATAGTGGTCCTTAAGACATCTCCTACGCTCATATTGATCTGTCAGATAACTCCTACAGTTGTAACCATCTTCAAAACAATTCCTACAGTCATAATGATCCTTAAGACAACTCCTACAGTCATAGTAATCCTTAAGACAACTCTTACGGTTATAGTGATTCTTAAGGTAACTCCTACAGTCATAGTAATCCTTAAGACAACTCCTATAGTCAGAGTGGTCCTTGAGATAACTCATACAGTTATAGCCATCTTCAAGACAACTCCTACAGTCATGGTGGTCCTTAAGATAACTCCTAAAGTTATAGTAATCCTTATGACAACTCGTATGATTATAGTGATCCTTAAGATAACTTCTACAGTTATTGATCTCCTCAAGGTAACTCACCTAATTTTGTTTGTCCTTTATGTAAGTCCTTATTTTATGTTACTTTTTGTAATATATTGCTCGTAGTATTGCTCTATAACATAACTTATCCAAAGAGGGTTATCTTTAAAACATCGCTCAGATTCAGACTAATCTTCCATATAACTCCCATAGTTATTTCAGTCTTTGTTATGGACACCTAATATAACTCCGAGTAGTCATGTTGACTTTAATATAACATCCACAATTATGTTTTTTGATATAATTTTTACTGTCATTGTCGTTCTAAAATTGACTCTAATTGTCATGTTGATGTTTATATTATCTCCCACTATCATGTTTACGGTCCATATAGATCGTCCTGTCATTTAATATAAATCTTCTATATATAATTTTCAGTTTCATCTTTTTTTTTATCACAACTCCATAATTATGTTGATATTCAGTA